ACTATATTTTATGTATAGTGGGGATTTCCACCCTCCATAAAATTTAGTTGTTCTTGTAGTCTCTCCTACTAGAATCTTTGAATATTTTGTATGCTGGATATGAGAATCCATTCGTTATCATGTCCATGCACAATGTATTTAAGCACATAATTGGGATTGAAGATTGTATTATCATTTGACTTAGATGACTGGATATATGTGTTATTTCTAATGTTGTTTCTGATTGTGTTGTGTTATGGGTATTGGTCAAGTGCAGTTGAGTGTGCGATATGCATTTCAGATTAACATCATGATGATTATGAATATGCAAATCCTTATTTTTATTATTATTATCATTATCGTTATTATTAACTGTATTATTAACTTAATTTTATAATCATTATCATCATCATCATCATATAAGGCCTATTAATTGTTGTTTTCATTGAACTGTTCAGTGAATATATTGAAAATATAATTTGGATAACCTGACTTACATATCTGCAACAAATTATCAAACTATGCCTGTTTTATTTTTGTTTACTAAAGATGCAGCTTCAAATAAATGGCTGGGCTTTTTCGAAAACAATTCGCCTGATCTTCACTTTACTCATTAAAAGAAGTACAACATTTTTCAGTCAAACTTCCCCCCTCACCCTCAATTTACGCGTAAGATTTGTTGAAAGAATGTTCAACAAGAAACCTTCTCATATCATTTAAGGTCTCCTAGGTAAGACTATGGTGACCGGGGAATCCCAACCATATTGTACATCGTAAACACGTACAATGTGATGTCGAACACGGATGACAGTGACACTCACTGGGGGCGTTTCATGAAACCGTCATAACGTACAAGTTCACCGACATCCCATTGAAACGCGTGTTAAACTTAATACACGCATTTCAATGGGATGTCGGTGAACTTGTATTTATGAATGTTTCGTGAGACGCTGCCCCGATGATTATTGCGCAATCACTAGAATCCAGGCGGCGGGAAAATTACAAAATGTGCGGGGGTGGGTCAATTTGCACCTCTTACAGATTTTCGAACATTTCCGGCAACCCCAAAATGATCTTAAAAAATGTCAGTAATGTATAGAGGTTAACTTACACAAAGATCATTTGGAAATTATAATCATCGTAATTATACCTCTTGTTATAATAACAAACAACACACAACACTTAAGAGTTCTAAAAAGAAGAACATACTAACGAGTAACAAACAAACACAGAAAGAAAAAAAGAAGTAACAACAACAAAATCATTTCAGTGATAAGTAGATCCAACATTCTCTGCTGGTGGGGGGGGGGGGTCGACTACGACAATTCTGTAAAAAGTATAAAATATATATATGTACGAGGGGGCCGCGGGAGCTTACCCAGTAGACCTACCCCGGCCCCCACTCAATGTTATTTAGGTATACGCATATGCGTGTTCCCAGCGACCCCCCTTTTTTTCTGCAAAAGTCCGGTGTGTAAAGTCAATGCGGGTCGACCTTTTTCTTTTGTTATACGAGCCTTTTTCAGCACCCCCCCCCCCCCCTACAGCAAAAGTCTGGCCCTACAATTGCTATTGGCTGTAGATATTTTAGAACGCACGGCCGCCGCGGCAAATGTGACTGTAGGCATTAGTGATCTCACATTTCAAACATTCACAACATTTTCTTTCTATTGGTCCGATTTATTTCACACTTTTGCCATTCGGTTACTGTTATTTTTCTGCTTTCATACAAATATGCCCTCTATAGAGAACAAAATAGAGAAAATACAAGCGCTCTCTTAATTCCCTGGTTAAAGATATGGTGTTTTCATGTTTATCACAGCTTTATTTGTCACCACCCCTACCCCCATTCTATAAGGTTCCCCACAGATGGATTTTCGTTACTTGTTCATTCTATTGTTAGTGAAGATATTGTACTACTGACAGTATTTTGTGTTATATCTTAGATTTTATTTGTCATGTTTGACACTCCCAACTTTTGCCGATAGTTAGCCTTGTACAATAAATTTGATTTTTTTTTTCTTTCTCTCTCTTCTTCAGAACGACACTAAATCACTTTTTATTTTAACTGCATTCTTTAATATTTTAAGATATTTATCTTGGATTTTAAATGTATTCGTCATAAATGGCCTAAATGAAATTGATTATTGGTGCAAGATATAGGGCTTAACTTGTTAAGTCTTGAGGGGAAGGGGGGGGGGGTATGTATTCATGATAATTATGTAGCTAAAGAAATATGATAATTTAACCAGTAATGTTGTTGTTGTTGTTTGCCTGTACTCTTGTAAAAGTATTGAAACCGTACTTGTGTAATGACCCTAATGAAGTATGTAATAAACAGTACTTAAGAGAAATCATACTAGATGGTTTTAGAAAAATTAGGAGAAAGGCCTCACCCTGTATTCAAACATAATTATGTATTCATTAAATTTGTATACATTTTAGTGGAAATAGTCTCCCATTCTGTCATTTGTATCTGAAAGTAGGAATATTTAGTACGTGTAAATGAGTGAGTCAGAATCAGAAGCCCCCGTCACACCAACGAGAACCAAGGCAGCATTTCACCAAACCGTCATAAGTACAAGTTTACCAACATCCCTTTAACATGCGTTTAAATGGGATGCCGTTGAACTTGTTCTTAAAGCCCCACTGCACTACTTATAGCTGACTTATAGCTACTTGCGCCCTCTATAGGCTATTGCAAACAATGTCTAATCGGTGCCTGTTGGTCCACCGTGATCCCTTTTTCTTACAGTATGTTAACCACCTGCAGGGCCGTAGCCGTTTTTTTTGTTTTTTTTTTGGGGGGGGGGGGGGCACATACATGTAATTGATCGACGTCCTGGGGAGGGGTCTAAAAAGTTCTACCGATCTTGGAAATTGGGGAGGGGCACGTCATTTACTTTTACTTTGTGAATGTGTTAATAGCAGCTTTACCTTTTCATGGACTTTGCACCGTACATGCTTTAATTGTTGCTATTTCAGGCAAACCTTGAGGAAGGTCATCGAGACTATCTTATCAATAGGAACGTGGAAAATGTGAATGAAGCTGTGAATCAAGTTTGTCGATTTATCTGGAACTTGGTGTGGTTGTACTTCAACAATAAATTTTACAATAGATGAACTTGTCTGTCTTGTCATTTCAAAATTTCATATACAGGTAGTGTAAATAGCATGTATTTGGATGGCGTACTTGAACGGGGGGGGGGGGGGCACTCGTTTTCAGAAGGTTCGTATTTCTGAAGGTTCATAATTCCGAAAATGAAAAAGGGTTCATAATTCCGAAAATGATATAGGGTTCATGATTCCAAAAACGAAAAAGGGTACATAACGAGGGAGGGGAGGACCGAAACGACTGAGCAGCCCCCCCCCCCCCCATCCTCTCTATATCAATGGTCCAAAAGAAGGGAGAGAGATAAAAGGGAAAAGAAAATTATTACTGAATAAGAACCAGTGAATTATGCGGCCGCCGGAAAATTCTATCTTTCCTTTTGTTATTCTTTGTTGCTATTCTTCTATCATTTCCTCTTTCTATCTTCATTTCCTTATTCTTTGTTTAATAATAATAATAAAATAATAATATGGATATTTATCTTTTGTGAGGCTATTCTTTGTTATTATTCTTCTTTCATTTCCTCTTTTTATCTACAACATAACATCAGGAATGAAAGAATTATCTGGCGGCCGCCAGGAGATAAAGGGAAGGGGAAAAAAGAGGAAGAAGAAAAGAAAGTAAAGGGGGATATCAGTTCAGAAAAAAAATGAAATCGGTGAGATGACCTCCACTTATCACCTTATTAATCAATTTTGACCCCCCCCCCCCCCTTCTATCTTTCACTCTCTATCACCGATTTCAATCTTACCCCCTCTTTCTAATTTTCTCTCTTCCTTCCTTTTCTTTTTCATTAGTCCTTTATATTAGTACGTCTTGTCTTTGTATTCTTTTATGTTTTTCTCTAGAGCGCTTAGGGACATGTTTTAATACTATGTGTTATGCGCTATACAAGAACGGTTAATTATTATTATCATTATTATATTATCCTTTTATCTTTTGCTGTCTTCTACTATTTATCCCTGTCTCTGTGTCACTCTCTTGTGTCTTGATTTTGAATATTGATGTACATGTAACTTTTATCATTGCATGTACAGGAAGACAAGATTAAACAAGTTTATCACTTGAACTTGAAGAGCTCTTCGAACACTGCCGAGATTTGTGATGTCAATCAAGGGACCAAATTAGCCTAAGCAGACAATGTCCCCTAACAATGCACACATTTTGAGTGCCTGTTCCTTCGTAGTTAAAGGACTTTGTCTGCTTACACATGATTGGGCCCTGATGTGACGTTATCAAACCATCAAACGGGTTTTTTTCTGGTAAAGTGCTCGTATATCCTAGATCCTGAGAGGTGCTTCTATTGCATCAATTTTGTATCGTCTGATCGGCAGTTCACCTATAACTTTGTCATCTGCAAGCTTTTTGGTTTCTAGCGATACATTATTGGCCATGCTTGTGATTTTCAAAGAATGTCTACTGTAAGGTTGGAATAATGAAGAGAACACACAGAAAAGTCTTGAAGCTATCTTGCATGGATGACATCCACAAGTTAACAGGCTGATACCTAACTTGTCTGCAAATACTCTGAATCATTCTTTTTGTTTCTTATGTGGTGTTTTTTCTTTTGTATTTCATGTTTTTTAATACATTTTAACCCTTTTTAACATTTCCACCTATCATTTTACATTTTGATTGTTACAAAAAGTAAGAGTAAGGAAAATGTAAAATCTTAACCATAGAATTTGTAAGAAACCATTTTCTTGTCAAGGGACGGTCATGATTGGGGGATGGGATGGAATGGGGGTGAAGAGGGACGTGGACTTAGAAAACTAGAAGAAAAGCTGATTAAAAGAAGGACAAAAATTAGTTTGCCGTTACTGAGTTTATAACACACTTTTGTTTGCTGGAAGAAAAACATTGCTGCAGATTATTTATCTGAATAATACACACCTTTTCACACAGGTACTTGTTTGTCTGTCTTAAAAACATGTTTATTCATTGTTTTAAAGAAGATTCAACCATCTTGCTATCAAAATAATGCCTTATAATTGCCTTCTTTCTTTAATTAAAATCACTATTGACATTTACTTCCACATTTGCGAAGATACATTTCCATTCTCTGCAGTTGATAACCATCAGAATATAAATCTGAATGTATATTTTGTGAAAATCAAGGACATTTTAGTAATAAAAAGGAGAAAACATTTCAGAAGTTCAAGTCTGAAGCACTTGTATATACAAGGGCTCAGACACATAATCTGCCACAAGTTTGTGTTCAGAATAAATGTATGGTTAGAGCATGAAATGGTCTTTGTCAATAAACGGTCTTGCATAGCTGGACTTCAGAATGAAACAGACCTCACATAATTTCTCATTTACATATAAAGACGTGAGATTTCTTTCAGAGTCCTATTTTTGAAGTACATTTCAGTTTTCATGAAAAGAAAGTGCTAAAGCTTTGACAATAAAACAAGAAATCTGATATTGAAGGATTCCCACAGCAAAGGTTAATAGTACAAAATCAAGTCCAGAATTACCAATGGAAAATGTCTAAAAGGAGTCTATGCATGAGGAATCCAGCCAAGGGGGAAACAAAACATTGCCCTAGAATTACCATGACCATGAATACAACATAAACATAATGAACCCAAATGAAAGACGTCACTGACAAAAGAAGAGCTTCCTTTCAAATTTGAAAAGTGCAGACATTTATTTAGAATATTACGCATATGATATATAAGTAGGAAATACACTTTAGGTGTCATTCTTTTGTACAAACATTTGATATCGTGGGGTTCTTCAAATTAGATACAACCTTCAAATACAACATTCAGCATGATTCTCTTCTTTTTTTAAACATTTTTATACAAAAACAGGACAGAAAATTCCACTATGACACAGTAAATGCTTTCAATGGACACCATTTCTTTTAAAAATGGGAGGAAAAATAAACATCATTCACAGTACCTACACCTATTTATACTAAAATTGTACAGCACATAGATACGACACCGACATAGTGGATAGATCGAGTCAAGGAAATTCTTATACATCTATAGTCATTCATGTCACTGGTACTGAAATGCACCAGTTTATATTAAATTTTACTGTATACAAAATGACTATGAAACAATGAAAAATAAGACAAGACAGTTTTCATATTCAAGTGAGTAGCATTATTCCTCTCTTTCTTACAATAATATAGAGCTGTACAAATAGCAATTCCCTTATTTTCTCTTTCTTTATAGCAATGATACAAGACTTGTCTTTAGATTTCATAAGAAACTGCAAGGAATGAAATTGAAATATAAAATAAAATTATCATAAAACTTACACTTTGGAAAACAATACTTATTCTGCACCAAATCTACAGTTTATTCCCCCATCCGATGAAGCTATTCATCGACTGCTTGTAAACCGTAGATGGGCAATCTTTGTAAAAAAAAAAGTCTCTGCTTTGCTACGTTTTATATTCATCTCCTTTGTACACAGATTGTTCATTTCATATTTGGCCTTGTGATTTAAATAGTAACACACACAACGAATACACCACCATGACAATCACAACATCTCTACAAACTTTGAGAGTTGGTCCTGAGGATCAAGCGGTGTCATATCGTTTTCCTCCTGTAGACCTGGTGCTGCTCCACCCACCGTAGCGGGACTCTGCAGCGAGTTCTTATTGCTATGGCCCATGGGCGTTGGGTTTTGTGACAACACAGGGGTCTGATCCATTTGAATGTCCGTTCCACCCACAGGGTGAGGGGAGTTTATTGCTCCTACCGACCTTGGAGAAGGCTGAGCTGAATGAGTTCTTGGTGAGGGGGCGGGTTGCGACTGAGGTCTTGGCGATTGGTTGGGATTGGGCGACCGGACCTGTACCAGGGCGTTGGAATTGGTCTGTGGAGACCTGACCTGGGCTAAGGGATTATTGGCATTGGTCTGTGGGGACCGGACCTGGGCAAGGGGGTTGTTGGTGGTCTGGGGTGATCGGACCTGCGACAGAACCTGCTGCGGCGAGCGGTTGGACATGATACCTTGCTGTTGAACCTGTCCTTGAAGCATGTACTGCATGGCAGGGTCACCCTGTGTCATGCCTTGTTGTTGCTGCTGCTGCTGTTGCTGCTGTTGTTGTTGTTGCTGCTGCTGCTGTTGTTGCTGCTGCTGGAGTTGCTGCATGGCCTGCGGCATCATGTTACGACGTTGCTGCATGGCTGAAGGGTGTTGACTGTACTGTGCTGGGTGGCCAGTGGCCATTTGTTGGAAGGGCTTGCCAGGGTTCTGAGGCTGTATCTGCTGTTGAATGTAACCCTGCTGAAACCTTGGTCTTTGTCGTTGCTGCTGTGGCTGCATCCATGTTTGATTCATTATCTGAAGATATCAAAGTGAAAGAAAACAGGTCATCATTTGATTCCCTTCAAAGTTGCATAATCAAATCATTTACGATACTAGACTGGAGGGGCATTCATTAAATATGTACAATAAAGTGGAAAGTCAAAATGAAGAAGTGGTTGTTTGTTAATGTTTTTCACAAAATAATAATAAATTGTGCCTATATAGAGCATTAAACATACATGGATGTTTCTATGCGCTTTACAAAGATAATAAAGAAAGTAATTAATCTACTGTGAAAGATTCATGAAACTATTTGAGAAGAGGAAAACTTCATGGCATAATAGAATAACACAATATAATACATTATATTTGTGGCGTATGCATACAATGAGACCATAGACCATTATACAATGTACTAGATCCAGTGTAGTTTTCTATGAATCTATGTTATACTTCTGCTGCAAAAGAAAAAAATGTGTTATACTTCAATTTGTACTAAAAACTACAGTTTAATACATTGATTTCCTTTGCAACAAAAGTATACAAAGATTTATAGAACACTTCACTGGATCTGGTAAGTTGTATCATGGGCTTTTAGTATGCATATACCATAATAATATTTGTATGTTTTATTTATTACAATATTATTGCTTTATACTGTGAAAGTCAAAGTGCACATTCATGTACAAGACGGACCATTTAACCATTGGTCAATTGTATATTTTTCATCTTTTAATCAAATAAATGGATAGTGGACTTCACGTTATATGACACAATTTTTTTCTTCAATATTGCCCTTATGCTGTGAAAAAGACCATTTATTGATTAGAGAATAATGTTTTGATTAGGCCTACCTGCTGTGCAGGTTGCTGCTGCATGTTTGGCTGAGCCATCTGCTGCTGTGGTACAGGCTGACCAGCAGCCTGCATGTTGCCTTGCTGCAGCTGCCCGTGTTGCTGCTGCTGCTGTTGCATCCGCTGCTGATGCTCCGACCTTTGCTTGATGAAGGCAGCCATCAGTTGGGGGTTGGACTTCAGAATGGTCAGCACCTGCTTCTGTTGCTGAGGCGAGTGTGGCGACTTCAGCGTCTGCAACAACTGCTGCAGCGCCTGTTGTGGCGCGTTGTTCCGCTGCGGAGGTATCTGCTGCTGACCTGGTTGAGGTACCTGAGTCATGTGGTTTTGCTGCGGTTGAGCTGTATTGTGAATGACCATGCCTTGTGCATGTTGCTGCATGACAGGCACTTGGCCCTGAATGTGTCCTGTCTGATCCATAGGCCCTCTCCACTGACCAAGTTGGTTCATTGATGCTACACCACCAGGAGGCATTGAAACAGATTTCTGTAACTTTCCACCATGCTGTTGCTGCGGCTGCTGTTGTTGTTGTTGTTGTTGTTGCATCATTGGCTGACTAATGACAGTTTTCATATTAGGGTTGCCTCGCTGCGCAGCGGTTGGCGTTGGTGAAATAGTCCTGATTGGTTGTGCAATTTGATTGATTGGATTCCTAGTGGCATCCACTTGTTGTTGCACTATTTTCACAGCATCAAGAGCACCTTGAGGAGGTGGTGGCACTGCAGGAATGTTGGGTTGTTGTGGAGGAGCAGCTATTGCCGCCTGCTGCTGCCCAGGTGGTAAGGCCGCTTGTTGTTGCTGTTGTTGTATCGCCGCTGTTTGTTTTGCTTGCACTTGCACGGCAGGCTGAGACGGAGCCGGTGCTCCCCGTGTCATAGCCGATATCCTACGCCGCAGGAGCTGGGCCTGCTGTAGCCTTTGCTGAAGCTGCTGCTGTCGTAGCTTGTGCTTGATGTTGATGCAGAACGGCACAGTACACTTCTGTTCCTGACAGTGCTTGGCATGCAAACAACACAGAGTGATGAGCTGCTTGCAGATGGGACATTCTCCATTGGTCTTTTTCTTGCAGCCTCTCGTATGCTGGATGACCCTCTTCATCTTCTGGCAGCTGGGCAAGCAGCAGTTGGCATCTCTGCACTGGTTGGCATGGACCAGTGACTGAATGCAACGCTGGATGGAGAGATGACGAGCCTCTTGTGGGTTCCTCACTGCATTGGAGCCAGGCTCCACATCCAGTTCTAGTCCCCATTTCTCCATTTTGTGCTCGTGCTTGATCTTCTCATAGCAAACAGCACATAAGTCGTAATCCTGCATGAATGGATCAAACAAGAACAACAACATTAGAACAGGGGTTGAGGCTGAAACAACATGTATTTATCTGTTAAATTCCAAATATAAAGAGGGCACCAATTAATTCACACAAGTTCCCAAATGTTAATAAATTCTATTCATTAGATTTCATTCACAATAGCAGAGCCTTTTTTTAAAGTGGATGAATATCAAGTATTTGTTATCACTAAATAAAATAAATATGAGGTTCCTCACACAGAGAAAATAATAATAAAACATGCACAGTTTATAAATGCTTTATTTTTGTAATCTTTGCCTGTGCTGATACTAAAAAAAAATTTAAAATATGTTTTAGAAAAAAAAGCCAAGTCTTGTAACATACCTCACACACAGTACAATGATATCTGGTCTCCACATGATGCTTGCACTCGTTACAGGTATAGACAAACCTATCCTGACCCTGGTTGTGAAGCTCACACAGCATGCAGAGAGAAGAGAACTTGGCCCTACGCAGGGAGGAGAACTCATAATGCCTCTCCCTGGCCATGGTGAGGAAGGCATCACGTCCGTCCATCAGGTCACAGGTGATCAGTGGGTCAGGATCGTGGATCTTCTCGTTGTGTGCTCGCTTGAGCTTGATGACAAAGAAGACCTGTAGAGGGATAGATCACAAGAGGACAATCAAGCATTAAAATTTATTCTTCTTAACTCTGGCATACTCTTTCATTGTTCATTTTAACATGACTGATAAAATATTTGTGCTTATTGATAAGCTACCAAGGGATCTCCATTTCGATTCCAAATCCAAGACACATGCAAATTTATGATTGCTGACAAGTACCAGCGTTTCATTTTGGTTTTCAGTTCAAGGACCACAGCTTGATCAAGGGAAGCACCCTCCACTCCATGGGGGAGCCCCCTCCCCATGCCATGAAAATAATCAAAATATTCATCATTGTCTTTCTAGTAGCGTGAATGAGTAATGACCATGTGATAAGCATCACAATAGACTGATTTTATTTATTAAAGTCTTTTTAAAGCACGAGCTTCTATAAAAAGACTTACTCCAGTTTAAAAAGTAAGCTTGCTTTACAAATAACACCTTGTTCCATTTCATGAGATACCTGTCTATTAATGCAACAAATTTCTTCACAAGGTCTGTTTGTCATAAATTACATGTAGCAATAGATGGAATACGAATGTATTCAATACAATACAAGTACTATCTCAATGCAATTTCCAATCCTTTTTTTCTTCCTTCCTTCTTTTGAAAACTGTTCAAAGGGAAAGATCGAGAGTTCCACCTACCTCTCTGTGTTTCTCCATGGTGGCATACAACTTTTGAGTAAGATCGTTGCCCTGCTGTGGAAAGTTGGTCTTCTTGTTGTTCTTGCGGGTACTGCTGCTTTTGCTCTTGTTCGTCTTTTTGCACTTTTTCTGCGTCTTCTTGCTACCATTTGGACCACCCTGTGGTTGCTATGAAATAGACAAGAAGGTAAAGCTGTCAGTAAGTACTCGCCTATTGAGACTGTGCACATCGTAAAATGTTGGTATTTTTATCGTATTGTATTAAAGCCCCACTGTCCTAATTGTAGCTACTTGCTCCTTCTATATAGAAAACTTCCCCAATCGATGCCTGTTGGTCCCCCATGATCCTCTTTTTCTTATCTTAGTTGAGAGCTGAGTTAATGAGATAGCCACCTGTCAGTGACCTCGCTGGGTGTCCTGATCCCCTCTGGCCCAGTAGTGTTGACGGTCCTCTTTTTCTTATGTTAGTTGAGGATAGGCTTACTTAAAATACTGAGCAACAACACAAAAGGAGAACTTAACATCTTGAAAGAAAAAAGAAAAAAGAACAAAATAATAAATAAATAAAAATACAATGTACAAGTACAGGTCATGGTAATGTAAGTATAGGTTCTTATGCAGAGGTTCAAGTGAGAAACTAGAAGGAAACAAAAGAATGCAGCCTTTACAGACATATTGACATAGTCTCTCCATATAGAAAGTTAAGGTGAAGCATAGTCAAGAAGGTTGGGAATCTACCTTTTTGAATGAAGCATTTACCTCTTCAGTTGCACTCTGGGCAGCAGCAGCCTTCTCAGCAGCCTTGAGCCTTTCCTCTTCCTCCTGGTCCAGCTCCTTGATGCTCTCCTCTAGGACGTTGGGCCAGAAGTCACCCTCAAAGTAGGGAAGCTCAGTGGCACAGGTCAACCCATCCTCGAGAGCTGCATTCATGATGTCCTGAATAAAGAACCAAGTTCAAACTCGCGATCACTACCGATATCATCACTCTCATTTGTGGCACAAAAGGACAGCATTCCTCATAACTGAATTAAATTGTTTTTTTATCTTAAGACAAAGCACTTGAAGATGTCATTCATAGTGCATCTGCCTTTGGTAATGATAGTGTTTCCATTCAGTGAATATACAACACACAAAATACAGAAGACATTCAAACTCACAACAAAACAACATTGAATTTAATACTAACCCATTGTAGGCATAATGCTCAGAAATCCTTGCCAATACGTAAATTGCCAAAAACCAAGCCTATTGTTTGGCTCGATGTGTAAAATGAAGTCAACCATTATCATCATTACTTAATTTTTGTAAAAACTACACAAATATCACAAACACCTGTAATTTATTTCAATTTGAATTTTTGATTCTCAAGACAATTGTCACAAGCGTCATAGAAACAAATAGCTTTTGTTTCTGACCCTGTAAATACCCCCAAAAACGTGACAACTCTTTACCATCTATTTTGTAACCAGATACTTGGGGATAGGAATGGGAAGGGGACCCGGTCCCAAGACTTACATTGTAGATATTAATGACACCATCCCCCAGGGCCTTGTCCAGCATCCTCCTGTACCAGTCCTGCAGTCTCTTTGGCTTGGGGATCTTCTGCTCGACAGGATGACAGTGGAAGATGTAGTCGTCCCCTTCACTCGGTGGACAAGCCCAGATGTGGGCAAACTCGTACCTGGAGAGTCAAGAGTTGCACAAGGGCAATAGAATTAGTGCATGAAACCAGCTGGTTTGATCCAAATGGCCACTAAAAAGAAAAAGGGCCCCCTATTTTGGAGCCCACTACATTGTGTACATTTTAAGTGTGAAACCAGGAGGTGTCAGGAATTAAAATCAGGAAATCACCTGAAATACCTGCATACCAAAAATAATCTTGGATTTGTTATCCTTGGCGATCTGAACATTTTATGATATTCTAGAAGTCATCTATTTTGCTCCCCACAGAAAAACCAGGATCCATGTATAATTAACTCAACTTGTAATATTAGCTCATTTTAATGAAGATGATTGGAACTTGTCTTACCCAAGACATCCGGTGTATTCAAGGTAACCAATAAGTATTTCATGATAGACAGCGGTCCTGAAAGCCCTAGGTTGGAAGAAATGGACACTGTCCAGGTAGGATATATACACTCGCCTGGAAGGGAAAAAAGGATAACAGAACAAAATGTTAGTTAATGCGAACAAACAGAAATGTCAAGCCTCACAATGAGGAAGAAAGGTAGTGTAATCATATTCATTTTGGATAAATATCAGAACTGTGGGCAACCAGTCATTTCCAGTCAAACCTGTCATAAAGACCACCTCTCTAGAAAGGCCAACCGTCTACAATGGCCACTTTTTTTGTTTCCCTTGGGTGACCTTACTACACAGGTTTGACTTGTATCACCAAAACCCCAAGTGATGGGGGGGGGGGGGGGGGGGGTAAAATCTTGAATTGGCTTTTTAAGAAAAAGCCACAATGAGCAGTATAATGCATGAGATTATCACATAGTTAAAGCTAAAGCAAGACACTAGAAATGACTGTAACTGCATGACCATGGCAGTTCTGACATGATAAAACATGAAAGCCAAAATGGTTAGGAAGACCTACCCCTGGTTTGGCTTGGGGCTATCTGAGCCGTATTCTTGCACATGCATCCCAAAGAAGCACACCTCTACCCCATCAATCTCCTCAAAGGCAAAGAGTGCTTTCGACCTGTATGGAAAGGTATCAGGAAGATCATCTCCGTATCTAGGGGGAAAAGAACAGATGAAAACACAGGTTAATTCATATTCAAATGAAGAAGGAAAAAAAAAAGGATTTCAAAACCTAGACTTTACCGTTGCCGTGTTCATAATGATTTGGGGAAGGAAAAGTTCATTAATGGTAGCATATTTTAAATTCTGGGTGTTTTAATGTATTCTTGGGATTACAATTTTAAACTATTGGGTTTGAAGTATTTGTCAGAAAATGCAAGCTCTGGGGGAAATATACAACAGTCTTCAGGTTATCTATTTTTAAAGTTTATCAACAAGAAGGAAATAAGGAGAAAAATACATGGCTTATAAAAGTTCTTTATTACAATCCCATACAAAGTGATAAACTCCACTGATATGTCAATTTCAAGATCGGTATATGGACAATTTTATACCTATTATAAGCGGTTACAGGTACTTCCCCAAATCATGACGTCACTATCAATGATATTATTCTGACTACACAGTACATCAAAGGGACAAAACCTAATTAATGTTTAAAATAGCATCTACACTCTACTAACAATAAACCAACAATCAGATGCGTAGATGGGTAAATTACCTAGCACCTGGCTTTTAATAGGATCCCTGCCATATGATACTTTTCATCAATACACCTACTTTTTGCAGCTCTCTAGCAAATATACATCATGACAAAGTTTGGATTTGATGTACACACACTAAAAAAAATTGTTAAAGATATAGATAGTGACTAAATTTGTTCAAGTCAGTACCTATCTGTCTTTTTTTTGAGAAAAAAAAAATCTGAATTATACGTACAAATATCTCGACTTCATGCCTGACTTGATCTCGACGATCTTCTCTGTACAGGACATGACCCTGATGACCACTTCACCAGCACCGGCGTTGCGGTCTCTGAGAAACTTGTTGACCCTGTTCTCAAGGTGAGTTCCTAGCTTGGAAGGTTGCAGTTCTGCAAGAAGACAAATTTATCATCAGGAGTTAAAGGAGCAATGGTTACTTCAGCTCTGGTTACAAACATATCTAAGAATTGTCACAATAGGACTCACATTTACTAAAGACAATTTAGAAAGAACTTCCGTAATCAGAAGTTTCTACTATTCCAGTTTCAATTCATTTCATCAGGTATGGTGTCTCTGATATCTCACAAACGTCCCTGGGGCAAGTATGCCCTGTGATGAGTGAACTGTATCAACAAGTTTTTTCATTTCCTATTATTATACTGCAGTACAGAAACCTCTTTTATGAGATAAAATAAGATGAATCAATCAGTTTGCAATTCTGTTACTTCACAATACTTCTCAAATGATTTTGGAAGCATGGATGGGTTATACTGGATGTTTTGGGATAACTGCTCTCAACGAGATGGATCTTTGACATTAATACTTTTTGAAAAAGACTACTTCAGTCTATAAATATAAAAGGAACACTAACAAGTATATAAATAATGATTTCATATCTTACACAAAACATATCCAATTTGAACTCTTTAAAAAAAAAACAAATGAAGTCCAACTAAACTCATTTGTTCATGTTGAGAATATAGATACGAACTGGTTAATTGTTGGCCACTTACTCTTCGCCGTGAACTTGTTCTCTTTCTTCTTGATATTCTTCTGTTTCCGACATCCATCACAGATGAAGCCGTCGGTCCAGATCACATCCACATGAAGAACGCAGATTTGATGTAACTTACGACCACACTCAAGGCAGTTGTACATCCTGAAAATTTTGAATTTGAATTTGAATTGACATTTATTTCCATCATCATCATCATGACAATATATACAAAGATAAAAATATGGAATTTCATAACAGATAACAATATCAAAATTAAATATAAGTTGACATAACAGCATTCAAAATATAAAGAAATATGAAAGTATAAACCATAGTACAAACGGAAAATGGTGCATCTATAAAAGCCAATAAGGCTTGACAGTTCATTGCACCAGGCGCAGAGCATAAGTAATAATAAGATATACTTGGAAGAGGAAAAAAGGGAATAAAAAAGATAAGTATTTAGTATTAGAGGTGTGGTCTTGAAATTGTTAAGATGTATTCCCTTAATACTTAGATTGAGCTAAATAAACAAGTTGGTCTTCATACTCTACTTCTGTTTACAGTTCAAAAGACAACCTCACATCTGGTTTGGAAAATATTAATTTGGATGGCGGGGTAACATGTTCTACAAGCTTTCGAAATAGTAGGTTTTGATTTTAGTAGCTAACTGTCATCACATTCATGATTCCAAATGGCTGTAAAATTTCTTTCTCCCCAAGAGCTAAAACCAACAATGATAATGATGGCTGAGATGATAGGCTACCATAATATTCTATTTTTGCACTCCATTACTCTCACAATCTATGTCAGATATTTAGACTGTAATTCCATGTAAAAGACATTCAAGGCTTTTTTAGGATTAAAACTTCATTCATGTACAAATGTGTGCTGGATCTTTGCTATGACACTCACTCCAAGTACACCTTGCTTTAAAATAAAGAAAGGTAAATACTTACGGTTCAGGTTCAAGAATATCATTCTTCTTCCTGCAAAATGTCTTCTTTTCTATCGTCCTGGATTGTTGAGAAGGAAAATAAGGCCTTTTGTAAAGGTAAACAAATAGTTGATTTATATTGATGCATATATCATAAAACATGAAATGACATGAATAGCTAACATAAATATTGTTGCAAGCAAAATTTCAATAATACTGAATTCCAGTAACAACATTTCTATATAATAAGACTCTACTATGAACTATCTGCTGATTGTGTACATCGTAATTCTGATACAAATACAAATAATACAGAGTTAAATTATCTTATTATAATATATATCGAAATGTCACGAGACCATACTTTTCACTACATAGATAATACACTCTGCAGTAGTAGTGACTGCTGAAGGAGGGAGTTCAATTCAATTATTATAAAAAAAATTTAAAGCCAAAATGCTGAATTGTGCAGTTTACATATAAATTAGCTCCATTACATAAAAATCATATTTCATTTGTTACAATCATTCAAACAGCATTGGTAATACTTAACATTACTGTCTAGCTATTTAAAATCGTTCACTATGTATCATTTACATTTTTAAAATCTATTAAAATTCACAATAGTAATAATAATAATTGATTAAAAACAATACAATACATAATATATAAATAAGTCAAACTTGAAATGTTGAAATTGTTACGGTTTGCAGCATTCTATTAGAGGGCAATACTTCTATTTTCAACATTAAAATCTCTCTTTACATTGATAGTACGTTTATGAGAAAGTTTTTCCAAAGATGCTTACGTTTGTGACTGGGTAGGGTCCTCTCCCAGGACGACTGTCTCACCCTGGATGTCATTGAAGCACTTCTCACAGAAATGATACCTGTTGGAAACAAGGCCAACACTTCTGTCAAATTGAAGTTATGTTAGACCGAGTACACCGACACAAAGACACAATAGGGATAGCAGTAGGACATGAAAGATGGATGGAGTAAGATGTGTGAGATGTTAGTGATGTATGAGATGAATGTTAGCAATATGTGCTTGGATTGCAGTATTAGAGAGAGAAAAACAGCTAGAGTGAAAGGAATTTGATAAACTGAAGGAATATTGAAACAAACCTATCATGAAATATCACAACTAAGCTTGACTTTTTAAAAAGACAAGGAAAATGAACAGTAGAAAGAGAGAAAAGAGAGAGTGAGATGACTAGGTAGAGATGACAGAACCGGTTATATTACAATTTTATGTATTCTAATAGTCTAACTACATGTACATATGTTTAATATCATCAGATGCTTTTACAGCATTATACAGCCCATAAAATATGCGGTGTAAAGAACTATTTCATTACACATAGTAAATTACAGAATAAGTTTTCCTTGCATTTTTTTTCAGACACCAAACCCTTCCCTTGAAATTATATTGGTGATTATATCTACAAGCACAAATCATTTGAGAAACACCAGTAAATGTAAACATGTAATTGCTAATATTAATTAACACAACTCACAATGTTTAGCCATTTAGTCAAATCATATAAAATCTAAATGGAATTGTTTCATTTACAGCCCACCCTCTCGGACCTAAATTCCAAGACGACACAGCTCAAAAAAACAACATTCTAACTTGATATTATCCTTACCTGTTCTGGTATGTCCAGTAATGGGCATCTCTTGGAATAGTACATAGCTGTTTTCCATAACAACATAACACTTGAGGATGGAACACATGCTGTGGAAAAACCCAAAACATAATGAAGTCAGCATGATATAGGTGAGCAAAGAGAAAACTAGATGGAATTCGACTGCGCGCAGTCGAAAATGATGCCTCCGTCATAGAGCAATTTTACAAACCAAAACAGAAGAAATTTTTCAAATTCAAGTTCAATTGTAATCTATTAAGAGGTTCTCAGAATATCGTGATTACAAACAATTTCTCATATACATATGTGACCCTTTGAACTTTGACATGATCCTAATATCTACTCAGCTCATTGGCTCTGCAAGATATCCAGAGTTAAATAGTAATCCATCTGTCAGTTCTAATGAGAATGCGTTCACAAGCTATTTTTGCATACATAATGAGCCCATGACCTTGGACCTTATGAACCAAGAATCTACACAGTTCATTGGCTCTGCAAGATACATAAATGATCTAAGTTTGGCAGGAATCCATCAATCTGTTCTAATGATAACGCGATCACAAGCTGTTTTTGCATACATAATGGGCGCTGTGACCTTTGACCTTTGACCTCGTTACCCAAAATCTAATAAGTTCATCGGCTCTGCAAGTAACATACATGACCTAAGTTTGGCAGGAATCCATCAATCGGTTCTTGAGATAATGCGATCACAAGCTGTTTTTGCATACATAATGAGCCCTGTGACCTTTGACCTCGTGACCCCAAAATCTAATCAGTTCATTGGCTCTGCAAGATACATACATGACCAAAGTTTGGCAGGAATCCATCTATCGGTTCTTCAGATAACGCGATCACGAGCCGTTTTGCATACATAATGAGCCCTGTGACCTTTGACCTTTGACCTCGTGACCCCAAAATCTAATCAGTTCATCGACTCTACAAGATACATACATGACCAAAGTTTGGCAGGAATCTATCAATCGGTTCTTCAGATAACGCGATCACGAGCTGTTTTTGCATACATAATGAGCCCTGTGACCTTTGACCTTTGACCTCGTGACCCCAAAATCTAATCAGTTCATCGACTTTGCTAGATACATATATGACCAAAGTTTGGTAGGAATCCATCGATCCGTTCTTCAGATAACGTGATCACGAGAACGGGACGTACGTACAGACGTACGTACAGACGTACGGACGGACGGACGGACGGACGGACGGACGGACAACCCGAAAACATAATGCCTCCGGCTACTTCGTAACGGAGGCATAAAAAAAGCCATATCATGTGACCAAGGAAATAAAATAATCAACTGTAGATGGGATAGCACTGACAGAATGAAGTCTATCAAGTAGTATCAAACCAGGGCCCCATAATGCCAAGCTTCGCAACTGATTGTACTATAATGAATAATAATAATAATAATAAAACCAGAACAGAAGCAATTTTAAAATTCAAGTTTTTAAAATCCATTATCAGGTTCTCAGAATATCGTGATTACAAGCTATTCCTTATAATTTCCATGTATGACCTTTTAATCTTTGACCTCATGACCAGAGCTGCCAACCTTGTGCGACCAAAAAAGGGAATCATGATGGCAAAAAAAGGAATTCATAAAAACGAGACTTACAACCACGCGCGACACACTTCCAATGCAGAAATGTTCATTCCTCGTGCTGTTTTTTTCCATACAAGCAGTTTTTTTTGTTTTGGTTATTTTGGTATTATCGGCATTTCATTCTTTTTGAAAATATTTTTCTCTTCAAGTATGTTTTAAAATTAGTTTCTATTGAATTTGTGATCAAATCACCATTTTAGAGCAGTTGTTTGAAATGTGTTATGTAAAAAAAAAAAAGAAAAGTATTTTATGAAGAAAAAACGTAATACCGTAATTTGGATGAAAAAAATGGAGTAATTCTGGCAAAAACGGAATGGTTGGCAGCTCTGCATGACCCTAAAATCTAATCCGTTCATTGGCTCTGCAAGATACCTACATGTCCTGAGGTTGATGGTAATCCGTCCATCGGTTCTAATGATAATGCCATCGCAAGCTATTTTTGCATTCATAATGAGCCCCATGACCTTCGACCCCAAAAATCTCTGCAAGATACATATATGACCCAAGTTTGGAGAGAATCCATCAATCGGTTCTTGAGATAACGTGATCACGAGAACGGAAAGTATGGACGGACAACCATAAAAACATAATGCCTCCAACTTCTTCGTTGTGGAGGCATAAAACATTGCTAGTGGGACACAAAAAATTGTCTTTACAAACAAGCGATCTTCTACTAAAAAAAGGAGGCTTTTATGTAAAAGTCCAAAAGTGATTTGGACTGGCAGACAACATTACCTTTCTACCACAGCAGTAGCCCAGCTCCTGCATGACTGGATCAATCTCCTGCTCAAAGACTTCGGCCAGTTTGGTACAGTACTTGTAGACCCTTGAAGTCTTGCGGTTGTAGAGCCACGCATTGTCAAACATGAGCCACACATCATCTACAAACTGCCACGGGTCAATGTACTGGCCTGTGTCCAGCTTGTTCTTGATGGTCTGCAGGTCCATTGGCGTCTTCACGATGTCGAAGTAATCCTGTAAGTGGGATTTGTTTTGCCGCATGCAATTACCCAACTTAAAAATATGCACACACATACATATAGATTTCCGATAAAAAGAAGCTGTTTGGTAATATTATCAATGCTAGCTTATTTCATAGTCTTGAGTTTGAGCAATTGTTGCAGGATCATGTGTCATACAGCCTTCATTTCTATATGGACCAATTGGACTCCCATTTTTTATCTACTATAGCTGGGGGGGGGGGGCGGGCAGCCAAGAGCATAACAAGAGGTGATTCACTGTCTTATGTAATCACGACAGGTGTTTGGCCATCAATCAACCAAAGTGAGAATATTTGCCGTTTATTTAGCATTCTCGATGACCCCAGTAATGGCACCTGACGCTTCCATGTTCAGCTTTCTGAATGGTTTGAATACCATAAATTGTTATCTTTTCAACAGAAATTACGTATCAACTCATCTCATATTCTTGTACGGTAAGACATACCACCCCTTCCTTCATCTGTGTGTATTACTAGTGAATTACAACCATTGATATGTGGACACCATTGGAGAATAGAGTGTCATGAAAAGGGGCCAATACTTACCGGAATCTGCAGCTTGTGAGGATCTACTGGCTGTTGGAAGGGTAACGATTCTGGGTTTTGGCGATATAACTTCTCAAGAGTTGGCATGAGGGCCTGCCTCAATTCATCAGGTTTAAATGCTGTAAAGAGAGAATTTATTCATATTTGTTACAAACACATAACTTAGAATAGAGGCAACTGTAGAACATCGGCCATACACTGTATTATGAGCTCTGGTTGAACTTACTGATCTCTCATTAAAATGATATCATTGTGATCAAAACACATTAGAAAGCAATGGCTATTGCATTAAAAGGGTCGATGGACAATGAAATAAAATAGATTTCTAAAATCCTTCATTTCATAATACAAATACCAAGAGAATGGAAAGAACGATACAACTCTGGTAAACTCCAAAAGAGCTCTCGTAAAATGGTAAAATAGAAAAAAAAACTTTTCTACATAAACTTCTTTAGAAGTCCGAAGGAGAATTTTAATTTTGTTTTATCGCTGCCAACAATTATACATAAATCACTCCTGTAAGTGCAGTATATTAAAACATATAATGCCAATCACAGGAAAAGACAGTAAGATGACTTACTCTTCATTGCCTTTGGTTTCTTGGATTCATTCTTAACCATTTGCGTTGACATAGCACCATCCTTGTTGCCGGACGTGGTGGCCCTTGTACTGTTAAGTGATGAACCATTACTTGTGGTTGTACTGTTGCTTGCTTTGGGTGTTTTGGAGAAGGTCATCTTGGTTGCAGAGACCTCGTGCTTGCCGTTGCCATCGTGTTCCATCGGCTCTGACTTGATGAATGGCTCAGACTTGATACTAGCATTGCTGGGTTTGTCACCGTAGCTACAGGGTTTCCCAGGGGCTGATGTGGATGATGATTCTTGCTTGATATAACCCTTACCCATGGACGGTTTACTCTTTAATCCGGGTGTCTCCGGGGGCTCTTGCTTGATGATCTTCTCTGCCACCGATGCTGGGTTATTGCTGGGAAGTTGTTTTCCTCCCATCTAAAAGAACAATTAAAAAAAATTAATCATCAGTGAAACACATACATTGATAAATGTAAGCCTGTATATAGTTTGAATATATATATATTGAAATCTACGTCTAACTCTGAAGCCATCAAAGATTTTCCTGAAATTAACAAGCAATGACTATTTGAACAAGAAAATACAAAGAATACATCAAAAAATGGATGAAATTGTATTAGACATGCCTGCCTTTCATGAATTTGTATGCATATCAGTGCATATCGACATGTGATTTTTTACAATTCAGATGTTATTTTTCTGAAAGCAAATAATAAAGCGCATATACATGTATGCATGCCAATTTAAGAGTTTTATTTATGTGTCTTTGGACAAAGAGAGCACAAATACTATTTTTTATTTTTAATAATTTTTTTATAATTTATCAACACAAAATTTAAGATGCTGACTGTACCTGAGGCTTCACGTCTTCACCATGATCAGTATGGTTTGAGAGTGGACCAGATAGGCTTGCCTGCGGAGTTGGCTGACTTGAAGACACAGAACTAACTGATGGCAATGAAGACTGTGAGAAACAAAAACAAACAAAAAACGTAAATGGAAGATAAATGTCACCATAAAAGGGGGGTTATCTACAACTACAAATATGAGATGCACATAAAAGAACAACTAAAATTTAGTTAACAAGATCTTTTGACCAACTAATATCCCAAGCCACAAGCAACCTTTGTGTGCATACAGGTACCTCTTTTACACAATTAGGTAGTGATTTTTCTGTGCAATTTTTTTTTAGAAAACCCAATTGACATATCTCAAATTAAATGTTCCTAGGACCTTAAATCTAATCAGATAGATCGGTTGCAAAGAAAGGGACTTACAGCAAGAGGTGACGTGTTGTTCTGAGTTGCAATTTGTTGCTGCTGGGTGGGTTGCTGTGCCTGGGACGATATGGCACCAACACTTTGCGGCTTTGCCATGCCCACACTGGCAGGGGCCTTGCCTACAGCGTTTGCCATGGACTGCGATGTAACCGGGATGGGAGGGAAGTTCCGGAACGGATTCTGGTTGGGTTGTGGCTGCTGCTGTTGTTGTTGGTTGGCAAGTTGCTGCTGCTGTTGTTGTTGTGGTGGTTGCTGTGGCTGCTGGCCAGGGTGCAGTGGTACCTGCATCGTTGATTGTTGGCCAGGTTTTTGCTGAGTGTTGACAGTAGTTGGCACTTGTACAATACTATTCGCCATATTTACAAACTGCTCAGGTACAGTGGAATTCATTGTAAGATCTAGATATGACAATAAAAAGATTTCATTTGATTATATTAATTTTTTATTACCTTTTCAAAGGAATATAAAACATTCTCATTTTCAATATCTCAATTAAGGTCTCTCAACATTCAAGAAATAGAACAATTTACCCTTCCCACATCCCCCATTCCATCCCAAGGAAGAAAATCAGATAACCAACATTGGAATTGCTACCGTATATTAAAACAATGTCATTTCAAATCCAGATATGACACACAAGAGAATGGAAGCAACGAAAGGTCACACAAAAATCATAACAGGTATTCTAAAACAATTTACAGGTGTACATCTATCATCAGGAATTCCTTTTCAAACATACTAATCTAAACACAGAAAAAATATGTAAAAACTATTAAGATTAAGAAAAAGAGAATGGCCTTTAATCTTTAAGTATCTGATGAGGTTATTGATCAGATTTGAATTGTATGAACACACAGCAGTGCCCATAGCTACACACACATACACAAATTACATTTTGACTGGGGTGCTCTGATGCACAGACATAATCATCCTAAAAGTCATATTCATTAAAAGACATCAAATTAAATTGAAATGGAAGTAATGAGTGGTTTGTCACATATTTATCCAATATACATATCTGTGCACTACTTCAAGTGAATATATACCATAATAATCATATACTTACCTGGATTAGAATTCAGGTTATAAAATATTTTAAGAATCAAGATTTCATTCTGTTTTGTCAAACAAAATTAGTCAATATATTCAAACTTACTCACTAAATTCCATTATGGAGCATCTCAAAATAAACTACAGCGTTAGTAATAAGAAGCAGGGTTAGAAATATGTACTAAATTTTGTCACATTATATACTAAAACAGTTTTCATGCCTTTCTTGTATTGAACATACATGTGCATTTCACCTCTGCCCCCCCCCCTAAAAAAAAAAAATAAATAAAAAAAAAATGCTGGAATGATTCTTCAAACCAGATATCACATATCATCTTTTAATTGGCTTTTTCTTTAGCTTTCAATCCAATTAGTTTTACTTTAAAAGCTTGAAATAAAGTCAAAGAGACAGTGGAACCGTATATGCTCTGTACAAGAAAGCCAGAAACAAAGCAGGGCACTTGGAAACAAATACCAGAAACAGAACACTGAAAAAAAACTAATAGAAGCATATGATTGAAAGGTAATTTACCAAATGAACAAAAAAAAACATGCAGGATTATAAAACAATAAACATAAAGACTATTTCATTGCACTAGAGATGGATTGTAATGAAATATGTTCATTAACAGGAATTCTATACACAACTCTGATATTGCTCTCCAATTAGTTAGGAACTGCTTCATTATAATTTATTCCTATGAATTCATTCCTATTACTCCCTGCACCATCCAACCACTTTCACATTCTTGCAAAGTTAAATGATCTTTGCAATTTTAATATTCCCTTGTTTGAGTTTGTACTGAAAGCAGTTTGTTAATCCAATACACTTTTAGTATGCAATTATTTTTTTTCCAATGAGTAAATTAATAAAGTACAATTAATGAGTATTGTATTGTATTGTATTATTTATTCGGCACTTTCAAAAAATATAACAATGAAACAATATAAACATGGTAAATACAAAATTGGAATGACAAAAAATGAGCAAATACAAATTTTTGTAGCAATATTCTGAGTGCAAAAGATGGCGGCCAGGGATAAATAGCAAATTTAATTACTGTAACCGTAAAGGTGTAGGCACTAATGAGGAAGATAAAAAAACTTGATGAGAGTGGGTGGTGTAGGAGTTGCATTCATAAAATTACATGTTAGGAATACGCAAATGGGGAGAAAAACTGAAATTTAAATAACTACGAATAAAGCACAATTTCCAACAAAACAATGAAGTTGTTTGCATCCCCATGCAAAACAATTTAGTCAACCTATCTGGTATTTTTAGGTTAGGACATGCCAGAAAACGAATAGAACTATCCACATGCAAAATACAGAAAGAAAATGTTCCCCAAAGGGACAAGTAATATTCTCACCACGTTTGGGGCCATTTGGAGTCACTCCACTCAAATCTTGCAGCACAGTAGAGATGTACTCACTCTGTGAAAGACCAGTGAGGCCACCCCGGCTGGCTCCCTGACCCGGAAGCTGACCCGGTATCAACTGGCCTCCTGGACCCACGGTGCCAGGTAAGCGATTGCCGTGCTGCTCAGCTACCCTCTTCTGCCGCTTCTCCTCCAGTTCCTTCTGGATCTTGTAGATCTTCTCAGCCAGGAGATGGTAATACTCCTCCTGTTGCATTTCAAAATGGAAGGAGGATGAAAATAGAGGAAGTAGTTTATTAAAGGTTCAATCGCTCCACACCGATGACAAAATTAGAACTTTAACAGAAATTTCATCATTCTTCAATTTAAATCAGCTTTTAAGTACTTTTCAATATTCTGATATACAAGTAATTCATTTCTCAGTAATGTGTCCTAGAAAACAAACAAAGTCATTGTGAAATTTTGGGAAAACATAAATAAAATCTTGAATAATATTTCACATTTGAAAGGAATGCTGCTACCTTTTCAAACAACAACCTCACTATATCTCAGAAGAAGAAAGCTTCAAGTCAACTTACCCGACTGCCTGCTTGTTCGTACATGTCTTTCTCCACTTTGCGGGCATAAGCAACCAGGTTTCCCATGCGCTTGTCCCGCAAGGCTGCTTGATCAGGGGAGGGAAATATTGCTTGCACCCTGAAAAACAGGAAACGAGAACTACTATTCTAAGCATCATTTCTTGGGAAATTCTTCTTTACAACTTTATCCACATCATGATAGAAACAAGGAAAATTGATAGATTAAAAAAAAAAGGACATAACAATTTGAAATGATAAATATAAGTTGTTTCATGATAATCATACATTTAATAGAACAAGAGAATATTAAGCCTCAAATGACGATGAAATTCAGTGACAAAAACCTACAATCCCTAAAAAGTATGCTTACAATTTATGGACAAGGTGGGCCCTGAGATCCTGAGTGACGAATGCATGCCATGGCTGGTTGGCTTGGGATTGTATTGCAGCTGGGAGCCCAGACGCAGAAGACACGTTGATCTCCTGACTCCTGATGCTCTTGATGATGTTGGAGGTGTTCAAACTTGAAGAGAAGGTTGCATTGGAATCCATGGCTGCTAAGGTTGATACAGCTGCTGCAGCAATGCTGCTTGGCACACACATTGTGTTGGCAGGTCCTGCATTGGTCAGGGTGTTGCTCAGCGAGTTCATGCCTTGGAAACTGCTGGCTGGCGGCACATTGCTGTTTGTAGAGAGTGCAGTCTGTTGTGATGACTGCTGCTGCGGTGGCCGCTGCTGCTGTGCCTGACCAGGCTGTGTGGTTGGTTGAGGCTGCTGAGCTTGCCCTTGCTGCTGCTGCTGTACAACCTGCTGTGCTACCTGTGGGGGTACCTGCTGCTGTCCTTGTTGCTGCTGCTGCTGCTGCTGTGTTGGCAACTGCTGTTGCTGTTGCTGCTGTTGTTGTTGCTGCTGTTGTTGTTGTTGTTGTTGCTGTTGTTCTAATCCTGCACTAGTAAGAGGCTGATTCAAGACAGGACGTGGAAGATTTCCTGGCGTGCCTGATGCTTGCGGAATAGTCTGCTGGTTCAGCAGATTACCTCCAGATTCCCCTAAAAATCAAAGAAAAGATGTGTAGTGATATTTCAATGTTTAATCAAACACCAAATATAATCCACATTGAAGACCATATATCCAAACTGACCATTTAAGTGTTTGCAAAACTGAGAAAACTACATGTCCTCTTTTCATCACGAAGTCCTAGTCTTTCATTTAACCACCATACACTGTTGCACAGGCTATTAGCATAAACATAAATTACCTGACATTCTTGGAGTTTTGATGGGGATACCAAGACTTTCAAATGCACGTGCCATAGAGTTGTGATCAACAGAGACCGGTGCAAGATTCTGCAGAAATTGACTTGCTGTAGCTGTGGGAGTAAAAGTAACAATGTGAGAAATGAAAGGAAAATATTATTACTTGTAGAGCTCTATCACCTTGCAACTGCAGTATCAGAAGAGTTTATGTGGTCTCTTGGTGATGATGCAATGGACTAAAAAAGGGGTTCATGATGAATCATTTTAAATCAAAGTAATTGGGGAGATTAAATGAACTGCCATTAACAGTATATTTGAGCACATAAAAATACTATTGCCAGGATCCGCTTAAAAATAACAGAGCTTGAATGACAAGATTGGAACATGAACTTTGAAACAAACTCTATCATCACTATTCTTTTAAATAATTTACAGGAGTATGTAAAAATTAATTTTGACTCGAGCCACAAGTTCTCTTTTGAGACTACACACCCTCAAGAAAGATTACTGAGAGTTCTTTTCAGGACTCCTCAATCCTCCCTCTCTCTCACTTGGTGCAACCACAAGCATACTGTATAAGTTCTCTTTTGTTGTTTAATCTAATATTGGATACCTTTTGCTTTTGTCAATAGAAAACTGCAATATGGTTAAGCACAAAATACTTTTACATGGCTCATACTCTAGTTCTTTTGATCAATCCAAAGGCCATCAGAAAAATGGTAGTAATCTTTAAGTTCTATATTACATATCAAAGATTCAGTGACACAAAAACGTAAATCCACATTTTGCTAAAATGAGTATTTGACATCAAAATGTTCAGAAAAATGTGGGCTTTCCAAGAAACAGAAAGACTTAACTCCACCCAACACCCTATTGAAGTCAATGGCTAGTGAAACATAGACTTAACACCTCAAGGCCCAAGTGCTCAGTGACACATAAACCCCTTTTTCTCAAAATAGCCAAAATGGAGTTACGTCTTAGTGTCACTGACCCCTCAATATTGTCGGCTGAGAGCCAGAAGGATGTGAACTAATTGTACAAAAACAGGGAGTTGATGCCCTTCTAGCCCTCAACAAATGCTATTGATTTTCCTTTTGTAAGATAACATCTCTCCTCCCTGGAAAGTATACTTACAATTTTGCTGTTTACGATCTGAAGCATTCTTCAGTGGGAGACACACAGGACAGTCGTTCCTTGTGCAGTTTTTCCAATGGGAAATAATCTGCCTTGATGAAGCACAGTGGGCCACTGAAAAAGACAAACAATTCAACAACGGTGTCAAAAAATGTGCGTAGATGAATGGTTTCATAACATTCCAAAATCTTTTTCAATTATGCTTCACTTTCAAACTTGATGAAAAGTATATTATACATGCTAACAAAAAACAAATTCAACAAATACACTGTTTAAGTAAAGCAGATTGTAAGCAGATGGAACACTTTGCATAACCTGAATTGTTCTTATCAAATGCAATGGAAATTTTACAATAAAAGAATAGTGACAAGGCTCTGCATACCTTGGCAAGACTTCCCAGCTTGGCAGTTGGTAATGTGATTGAGAACATTCTTCATGGTTCGGCAGTGTGGGAGAGCGCAGGGCTTCACCTCTCCATTTGCTGCAGTTTCTCGTCTTTGGCACTTGTGCGCATGTAAGAGTAGTACCAGTTGCCTTTGAATGAGTTTACGCTTGCCCGGATCTGCTGCCGAAGCCTGGGACCCACCCGCTCCTGCTGTACCTACGCCAACTCCTGCAAGTGACTGTTGAGCACTGATTGGTTGCTGCTGCTGTTGCTGTTGCTGCTAGAAATGTGGAATACACATAAAATGTCAACAACCACCAAAAACAAACACAGACCAATAAAAAACCCAGATCATTCTTATCTGAGAATTTACTCTTCCTAAAACCTAAAAGTCAAACATTTCAAAACAAGACAAAGCCCATGTGAATATATTTATTAAACGTTTACCACCACCATTTGATCATTAAATGCAACTTTGAAAAAGAGAGGTAGAGCGAGAAAAAAAATTCCAAAATTGAGGTACTAAGAGAGTCGTATACAGAAGAAATTCTAATTGTGTAAATACTATTCAAAGTATAAAATGTATAACATGCAGGATAGTGCATATGACGAAGTATAGACTATGAGAAGGTTAGGAAGGCTACAATTGCAACAAAGCAGCTTACCACATTCACTCCAGCTTGAGCATTCATGTTAACATTGCTTACAGCACCAACACCATGATTCCCAGCAATATTGTCACTTCTATTTGCATCTTGAATACTAGCCCCAGCATTGTTTGCTGCAATGTTCACATTTCCTGATGATATGGCCCGCTGTAACGTTCCTTGCACATTCATACTTCCCCTAAAATTGCCACCAGCAATCATGTTCGGGTGCATCATGTTCGTGTTCCCACCCATATTTCCAGGCAAGTTAGTGATCACATTCCTGACCATGTTTGGAGCACCTCCAGCGATATTAGGGTTCATATTTGCGGCAGGTGAGCCCATGTTGTTGGGATTGATGTTCATATTGCCAGGCATATTGAGTCCATCCACCATGTTCCCTAATGCATAAGTGCTGGTCGTGGTGGGCACGAAGGAGGATAATGCATTCATGTTGGATGTGGGTGTAGGCATAGTGTTCATGGAAGAGGAGAATCCATGGAAAGGGTTGTTGGTGTTTGACTGGGTCATGTGCTGTACATTTGCCATACCACCCACCTGCAGGCAAGCAAGCAAGCATTAAATCAAGAGTTACAACTTCCACCAAGAATAAGATGTAAAGGAGTTTACAGAAGATTAAAGACAATGGCAATAAACTACAAAGATTAATAAGAGAATACACAATTCTGTTCAGCAAAGGTTATGCTTTGAAAGAATCTTGAAAACCATTAAATCATGCAACATTCCCCTAAAAAGTTACAAGTTGATGATAAAATAAAATTTCCAAATGGAAAGTATGAATAAAAAAAAGAAGAAGCTAATTCCAAGAAAACAATTTCTTATTTCCTCATACAGCAAGAAATCACTGCACTAACAAATAAAAGTGGTTGAGATTCAGTCAAATTGTATATTATCAGATACAAAGTAAAATTATCACAGCGCTTGAAACCACTATCCAAGGACCCAGAGCAACTGTAAAAATTGTTAGTGTATATGAAGACACATTTCAAAGAATGAAAGGGGCAAAGTCACTGACTGTGATGTTTACCACTAATCTTACAAGGACTAGATAGAAGCGGGTGAGATAGGCCACACACAAACACACAAGACATGTGTTTTTCAAGTCCGATCCCCAGTAAACAAACTTTAAAAATTAATTTATATTAGGCAAACAAAGAAGTACAAAGATAGTGTGGACATGACTAGTAATAATAATGAAGAAAAAGAAGGAGCCCTGTGATCAATTCCTGCAGAAAACAGATTGAAACGATTTGAAATTCCCATCATAAAATTGTGCCAACCCCAGAAATAAATATGGCTAATGACATATGTTCAAACACAACAACATGCACCTACACATGTACAATGTACATCCAGCTAGACCCGAGTATAAAATAATTGAAAGGGAAGAGGGTTACAAAGATGATAAAAGCCACACTGTGTACATAAAACCCTTCACCAAACATCAGCAATATCAGTTAAATGGAGATTACATATTAAAAGTGCCATAACTCATACAATTATAATAAATTACATGCCATCTGCATGTAATGAAGAATCAATTCTACTTCATTATCAATTTAGATCATTCACAGCTGGTGAAATAAATTTCAAGATCTCAGAAATAAAGAATTCCTTGAAACATTCATCTCATTGAATTGATTTTTATTTTTTGAATACTAACCTTTGCAGCCCTTGCTTTCGCCATCGCTGGATCCATTCCGCTTATCATATTGGGTTGTCCTACATTGACCACAGCACTATTGCCCATTGCATTGTTGTTGGCCATTTGCTGCAGTGCTATCGAATTGGCCACAGGATTGTTATTCCTAACCATGGAATTGGTCATGCCCATGGCCATTCCATCTCCACCTTGAAAAGGTCCGTTCATCATATTCGGCCTATTGCCTATCATCCCATGACCAGGTCCCATGTTTGAGGCAACATTTGCATTACCCATACTGTTTATGGGCATTGCCCCAGTACTGGGATTGAATTGACCCATAGTGTTAGCTCCACTAGTGTTATTTGTCCGTGCATTGGCGATTCCCGAAGTTACACCAACAGTCTGGTTCATAGTTGGGGAAGGGGCTAAACCTTGCCCTCCAGCCTGCTTTGCAATGCTATTTGGCACAGGGCTATTGGTAAAAGAACGGGAGATGTTGGCAAGGCTTGAGTTGGTGACTCCACCCTGCAGTTGATTCTGCTGCATTCCCGATGACACTGCAACAGCTTTTCCCATCACGCTCCCAGGCTGACTGACTTGTGCACTCACTCCCGTGCGGGGAGGAGACTGCAGCAACTTGGTTAGCTGTGTGTTCTTTTTAAGGGGGTCATTATGTGTGTCAGTTGCAACTGGCATTGATGATGCAACGGTAACTGAAGCACTGCCACCGCTCGCTCCTCCGATACTGGACAGACTGACACTGGCTGATGAGAATGACACTGGAGTCTCATTGGTACTGTGGCTTATCACATGAAGGTCATCGGACAGAGGTGGAACATCAATATCAAGAAGCTTGGTCAATTCTGTCAAAGAAGAAAAGAGAAATAGAGAAATGTCATTTTGCACACAAAAAAGGAAATGTCTAACACCCATGCCTGAAATCAACAAAAACTGAACATTTATAACTTTTCCCAATGCATTTTGGTATTAAACGGAAGCCAAAATAAAAAGCAACTTTCTACAGACAAGACAAACCTTGAACAGACTGAAGAAATGTCTGAAGAGGCACAAATGACTGCATCCATTGTACATTTACGAAATATCTCTAGCTACATTTTTCCCACTTTCACGCTTTATGAAGCATACCGGTACATGCACATGTACTGTACATGTACTTGTAAAAACACTTCAGTAGTACTCCCAAATGTTTGAACAATTTTCTAGCTGCATGAGCATTTAGATTCTCCCTCAATGGAAGCGATCATCTTGCTAATTCAACATAATTCCAAGTAATTTCTTCTTAACACCCAATAAATATGTTAAGGACCATAATAATTGTTACCAATCTTAGGGCAAAGAATCCCTTGGAGGAGATGGATTCTTACAAGTTTATAGAAACTGTACAGCAAAAAATCATCTCCAAACTCAACAGGGGAAGCTCAGGAAACAAAGATCTGGGCCCTGTTTCATAAAATTTGTCATCAATAACAAGTTACGATAACTGTTATAAGCTACTGAAATCATGGCATTTGATTGGCTGAGAGCAAATTTGTCATAGGAATTTAACATTTGTTATTGATAAAAAGTTTTATGAAACAGGGCGCAGGTTTATCTTAGGTGGAGAGGGGGGGGGGGGGGGGCTATTTTGCTTGGTTGTAAAGGAACTTGTGTACATTATTGTTCCATTTTTGGCTTTTTTGTTTATAATATAAACATACTGTACAGATTTTTAAAACATGGAACATGTATTTGGTACATGTACATTTAAAAAAAATAGAAACACACAGAGGGTAAAAAACTGCTAATTAATGTACAAACAGTAAGTACGTAATACAAAGCAGCTCATTATGACTCTGATTTGCTCTGTACAGAAAATTTCATAAACTTGAACTTTCTTAGTTCTTGATGACGGAAAAGACTTGTTTCATACAGGGTTGTATAAAAGCATATTTGCAATTTAGTACAAGGCAAATGGGAGGGGACCTCGCAAGCAAGCCTTTCCGTAAGATTGCGCCGAGCAATTTTTTACACAACGGTCCCTTACTTTTGGCTCCCGGTAAGACAGAAAAAATGAGTACCAGGTGCCGCTCTTTTTTTATTCTTGGCGCCTGGTCTGGAAGAATTAACATTTTCTGTTTCGGAAACTTTCACATGGCCGGCACTAAATGTTCACAAGTCTGACAAAAAAACCTTAGAATCCTAAAATCTTTTCATGATAAGCTGCAAATTCTTCATTGCTTTAAAATCATCTTTGCAATTTTTTTTGCAGCGAATTCAATACGAGGTCCGCGAGCGCTCCCAATTTCTTGCATGTTGAAAGTCAGGTCATACATGCAGTACATGAACATGTAGATTGCATTAACTCCCACATGAACAAATGGCTCGAAGGATCGAGAAAACAAAATGTCAAATGGAGATATAAACAAGCATTTGTATTAGTCATTAGAGATCTACCGAGGTTCGTTTGTTGCAATTTGTTGGTCTAATTTCTTATATAATCTTGAATAGAATTCGGAATTCTCACACTGACAAGTATTGTTATTACTTTCATTTTGCAAGCAGCTGATCTACATGTAGCATTGTTTTGGCAAAAAGCTGGCCGGCCAGCTTCCCACCATGAACCTGTAGAGTCCCGGTAATTTTGGGCACTGCGGATCTGCCGCTGGTGCAGTATCGCCTCTTTGGCAAACAGCCAGCCGACCTGCTTCCCAACTGAGACCATCCGTGTTCCGCAGAGAGTGCGGCGAAAGATGTGTTTGCGAGGTACATATTGGTTTCGAGAATGCTCATTACGCACCCGTGCTTGTCACCTATCAGCTGTCGAATGAAAATTGACAATGTGGACAATTTTACATGTATAATTTTTTGTACAAATATCTTGTCAGTTTTGCTCTTATTTCTTTGGTTTTACAGCACCTAAAAAGAAAATTTCTTCAAATTTGCTCCTGACGTGGTTCAGACTGATGTCTGATGTGTTTTGAAGTCAATTTAGTGAATACGTTTTTGGTATGAATTTGCCTATAATGTTTATGTCTCTGTCTGTGGTTTGTTTACATCTCAATCTGCTACCACTGCTGTGCAGTGTGTACTTTATAGTGTACTGAGAGACTAATGAATAAATAAAAAGTAATGGTTAACAGATAATTTAAAAGAAACAGTCTGTTCATTAATTTTGGAAATGGCTCCTGGTCCTGAAAAAACGGCTCCAGGTTCTCTAAAAATTTAAGGACCGGGATGTTTTGACTTAAGGAAAGGCTTGCTCCCAAGATACATTAATAACAGAGTTGTGTTGTGTTTGATTATGCAGACCTTCAAATGTTCACATCTCCTATTTTTAATTGGTTTTTGCTCAAACTTTTACTTTTTTCTGCTTCTATAAAATCCACTGCCCAAAGACCCACAAAAAACCTTTGCAGTAAAATTTAAAATCTTTCCCATTTCCACTGGTAAGTACATGTACTTTGTGGACTTAGCTACATGTACATGTATGAAACAATTTTAGTCTGTCTCTTTCTGACAATACATGTATATTTAACTGCAATAAATCAATAGTTAAAAAATGAAAAATGCAGAGGGATTCAGTTTTCGGACCTGTCCAATTGTGTCCATTCATTAATAGACAAGTAACTGTGTAGAGTCAATGCATGTCCAATAGATCTCTGCCCGCTAACTTAATAACACATATATATTACATTTACATCTAAAATACTAAGGAAATACTAGTCATTAAATTCAGAGACAAGAAAGTCTAGGGCTGCACATCAACACATTTGATAACAAAGATTTTGGGAACAAACTCCTATAAAACAGATGTAAAAATCTTCATTAGAGCCTACATGTAGGCCTACATGTAAAACTCAATGCAAATTGTTAACTCTCTTCAACATGAGTTTTCCATTCAAGCTACGGTCACAAAGGTTCGTACGAACGATAATTTTGTACGAATCTCCTTGTTTTTCCATAGTCTTCCCGAATTTCCATTGTCTGAAAATCGTTCGTACGGCGTTCGTAGCAATTCGTAGTGGCATTTGTGACCGAGGCTTCACTGGAAAACACTAGCCTCAGGGCTTGGTGTTAGTAGTGTAAAAAAGCGCATGCAAGGAGTTCACTAAATTCAGCAAACCACGTGCATGCCCCTTGGATCACTAAACTAATCAGTACTATTATTGCAAGGTAACATCAAAATTGGCAATGCGAAATCAGGCATTGCGCATTTTCGCGTACACCACATGAATTTGTGTTTGCGACAGAACCAATATTGCAAACTCTCAAGCGCTTTTGTAGTGTAAATGGCATGTTAGGCTTGTTAGCTCTTTACCGTAAGGAACACATGGAAGGTACCGGTAAGCAAAGCACTCACACTCAGCCTGACTCAGGAAACGAATACACATTTGTTGTTAAATTTTTGACTGATTTCAAAGTGCTTTCCTCGAGAAGAAAGAAGAGTCCACAAGCAAACCACAAAGCCAAGGTTTGGGGAATGAGTGATTATGAACGCATTTTAGGTTTAGTTTACATCACCTATATTTAATTAAAAGCCGCGTATAACATGCACATGTGACATGATTGTAAATGTAATGAGCATGTGAAAAGTAAAAAAAGATTGAGATAAAATAAAACTGAAAGATAAAATCTGAGATGAAAAGTGGTCTCAGAATTCTAAAATGATAAAATACAATATTTTAGAGATAAAACTGTGCTCAGAAAACTGTCCCCAGCCCTGAACAACATACACAATCAAAAGGTATGCAGCCTAGAGTGAAATGTGTAACATGAAAGCCATGATCGTTACATTGTAACACCACTCACTGCATAACTTCTGAATTTGTATTCACTCCAACACAATCTCAATCTTTTTTTTTCCTGAAGATGGATAATATAGCAAAAATCTGACCATCAGAATTTCATGAACAGATTACTATAACATATCTCCCTCGATCAAAATGCAATAAGATTTTTTGTTAATGCTACACGGCAAACGAAAACAAAGAAATTGCTGAGAGGGGTCAGGATGTTGTAATTTTGATTTTACCTGATTCACCACGTTCGTTGGAAGCGTTCGCTGGTGACGCTAATTTTTGCCTTTTCGATGGCGGCCCGTCGACAATTTGGTCCGCCATACTGAAATATTAATGTAGAAATTCGATGTTCGAATCCTATATTTAGATGCTCAATTATAACAAATCTTCTAAAAATATGTTCCTATGGGCCCATCTACTCGCTAATAACAATCGCATCTTGGACGCAGAGTTCAACCAGGGCATCGACATGTCTCTGCTGATGAATCTTTACAGCGCACATCTTTGCACAGTATGATGCGGGCGTACAAAGCTTGATCTCCGACAAAACTCCGTCAAATTGCGAGTCCCACAGTCACATTATGCCACAATTTCAGACAGTCTAACCAACTTCTATGGAAAATCAAAATCCTAGCTAAACTCCTTAGATCACCTAGTGGAAAAAGGTTTCCGATATGAGGCGTAAAAATCCGAGAAAAAATGCTGTTTTCGCCCGGTAGGACATTCACAAAATGGCGGCTGTTGATGAAAACCTTTTTACGCTTGTCAGAAAACCGAACAAGGGAAGCTTCCGGAAAAATCCGAATCCGAAAGATAATTTAGTCACGTTCTTCTCGTTAGCATATCAGAAGAGTGCGTCGAATCTAGCTTGCGATTGGTCGATCTTCAGCTGACGTCGTTATGATTGACATGTGCAAATGAATCGGTAAGTAACGGGATATTTCGGACGGTTTCGTAATTCAGGTGACGAATTCAGTGGACGGAGTGTAAGATTCTTTAAATACCCAGTAGTCTTAGCGCGCTTGTCGCGATCATATCAGTGTGTGTGTGTATGATCTTCGGTAAGAGAAAAAAAAAAACGTTGACGGCACAAACACAAACCGGTTCGAACTTTTTATTGAAAGATAGCAATAAAATAACGTTTTTTAAATGTTTGTTTTAGTGGTTAGATCCAACCATCAATGCAATTTTTAAGTGTATCAAAGAGAGTGAGATATAGTTTATATACACGTATAGGGCCTATATATAATTATATATTATTTGTTTAAACATATACTTGCATGCAATATCAAGTAATGATGTGATATGAACAGTGTAGGACCCTCGGGGAGAACAGTATTAATACTAAAGAGGCTAGCTACCCTGAGTAAAATACTCATAGTATTATTATTATTATCATTATCACCAAACTCTTCTGGGGACTTGTAATGCAGGACCAATATAATTATGATTTAGATTAGTTTATGCATAATCGTCCAAATGCCTTTTTGGGGCTCTTCAATGGCATGAAAAAAAGATACTCGGTGATGCATGTGAAGTCAAAAATGGCAAGAGAGAATGTTTGTTTTACTTTATAACAAAGTCTAAGTTTGTCCTATATTTTTGTAATTAGTGTTGCGTTCAGTATAATAAGACCAAGTATAGGCCTATAATTAGTTCGATAGAACTGATCAGGGTCCTCCTCCGCCGCCGCCGCCGCCCTCTCTCACATCCCCATTCTCTCTTCCCCCCCCCCCCTCCCCACTTTTTTCTCTTTCTTTGTATAGTCGTTTGACCTCAAGCCCCCACCCCGGGAACATGCAATAGCAAACGTGCCTCCCAGTCCGACCGCCCCCCCCCCCCTCTCTCTCTCTGTCTCGCTGTCTCTCTGTCGGCTCTGTCTCTCTTCTCTCTCTCCCTCTCTCTATCTCTCTCTCTCTCTCTCCCTCCCTCCCTCAACTCTTTCTTATAGTTTTTCTTCTTTTTTCTTTTAAAGAATGTAAAATAATTGTGAAAACAATGTGTGAATTAAAAAAACGATAGTAGATTATACTTTCCTCAATGTGAGGGGCCCACGCTCTGCCTAGCGTTATTGTAAAATAATACCTAAAATAAAACAACAATGCACAGTACAAATATTATTATCAAGGATCCAAGTCGAAACCACGGAAAGGCCTAAAGTGAACGTTATTTGAGGAAAATTACAAAGATATCCGACAATGTCAAAACCTTTGGGCCTATATAGGATTTCCAACCTATTTATTCGCTGTTCCTGTCAATGAATAGCATCACACTATGAAAGTCACCAAGACTCATTCACTGCACTTCGATATATCCTATAAAAGAAGTGACTGGCAACAAAAAAGAAAACAACTTTCGCGAAGCCTGCGCCGAGAGGGTAAACCAAGCTGGGAGGTGGGGGACTCCCCGAAATCCGATTCAAAATGTTTAGCGCACGTGCACATGCGCGCCATCGTTGCTGCCTGATCAGGCACGTCAATGGTCTGGAGTATCTTTTGTGAAGAGTTTATTGTTTGAGCAAGGTTGAGATGGGTCTGGTGGACGGGGGTGGGAGGGGTTAGATCCAGTTTATCTGAAAATATGTGGTATGATAATAAAAAGATCACGCCTAGAATGTATGCTCACATCGTATATGTCTTGCTTATCAATGCACTTATCTCGAACAGGCCTTGCTCAGGTTTTATAATAATTTTAATTTGACATTGATATTAACCTTCAGAAAAGTTCACAGTAACATAATTTACATTTCACTATTTTGAGCGGCTCCCTAAACTGTAATCGAGTGGTGTTCGAGAGAAAAGTAGGAGAGGAGGAGGTGGTGGAAGGAGTGGACAGGTCCCCAATGTGGTGGAAGGGGTAACAATATGCAGCACACACGTTATATCCCCATAATTTATATCTGTATTCATTTATCTATTTATGCAACACTGGTGTGTGCGTATTTATGCACACAGGAAGTTTGTATACAGTTGTAAAAAAATCAACAGCGCGATATAGAATAGGCCTCCATAGAAGCTCTTGAAAAGATTTTTTTTTGACAAATGTATAGCTTCGAAAATGTAACGTTTATTATCTGCGTACACCCCCCCCCCCCCCCCCCTCATGGACCAAGCATCCTTTTCTCTGCTTTCTCTAGTTTAAGTAGGGGAGGGGGCGACGAAATATTTGCGGTGGAGCCCGAGTCAAAAGAGACACTAAATAGTCTTAATTCATGGCGATAGAGCATATGGATTGAGTGGGTTTATGCATTTTGAAGCGAGTGGATAGTAGTATATTGAGAGCTCGTTACTATACTCTTTGGTTTTTGTTTAAGCGTGGTGTGTTAGGCAGGCACGTAGTCAGAGTTTGATGTTTAGTATGTAATCGATCGAGGTAAAAATAAAAAAAGGGGTCTAAAAAAGTTCAACCGATTTTTTTTTTTTTGGGGGGGGGGGGCACGTGCCCCCCCCCCCCCCCCCCCCCCCCCCCCCCCGTGGCTACGTGCCTGGTGTTAGGCATTGGGAATGCATGTGCCCCGTGTTTCCCAGCGGCTCCCTGGCGACGCCGCTGTAAGGACGGGGAAGGAGGAGGCAGGAAATAGCAAAGGGGAACGAGGAGGAGACAAAAACGGACGGAGGATGAGGACGAGGATTTTTTGTTTTTGTTTAATGTGGTTGACAATGAAGATGTTGATGGTGATACGGGTGATGTTGATATACCCGGCAGAAAATTAATGACCCCACTGAGCTGTGGGCGTGTTAGCTCGAGTGACGAAAGTGCGTATATAACAATGACAACAGTATAGTGATGGTGGTGGTATTGGTTGGTAACAGTGGTGGTGGTCTCAATATGCTGCAGACTACCTGTTGGCAAGGAAAATATCGGGGGGGGGGGGGGTGTGAAAAGTTGCTGATAAAATAAAACATGAAATAAAACATCCGTGTACCTTTTTTTAACAGTACAGGAACCTTTGTGTTACTCTCTAAAAAAAATCGAGTGATCACGGACGTCACTCCTCTGGAGAGTGAAAATGTAGTGAATATAGAGTGAACAGGAATTTTTTTTTTTGCAGTACATGAACTTGTTTTTATATGAAACAAAACATCCGTGTACTTCGGTTAGCTCCAGCGAAGAAAAAGCGGATGAATGATAAAATTAACAGTATACTGACGGTGGTGGTTCATGTAAGACTCACTCTGTGTTGGTTGGTAATAGTGGTGGCGGTCTCAATATGGGTGACACCTGCGGACAAGGAAAATATAGGGGAGCCGGGGGAGGTGCGTAAAAAGTTGCGAATAAACAAAAATATGAAATAATACATCCGTGTACTTTTTTACAGTGCAGGAACTTGTTTTATACATTACAGGATTTTTTTTTACAGTACAGAAACTTGTTTTTTTATGAAATAAAACATCCGTGTATTTTTTTTTACAGTACAGGAACTTGTTTTTTACAGTACAAAAACGTGTTTTTATATGAAATAAAAACATCCGTGTACTTTATTACAGTACAGGAACTTGTTTTTTACATTACAGGAATGTGTTTTTTACAGTACAGAAACTTCTATGAAATAAAACATCCGTGTACTTTTTTACAGTACAGGAATTTGTTTTTTTACATTACAGGAATTTGTTTTTTACAGTACTTACAGAAACTTGTTAGCTCCAGTGAAGAAAATGCGGATGAATGGTAAAGTGACAACAGTGGTGGTACATGTAGGACCCACTCTGATAAACAAAAATGAAAAATAATAGAAAAATAATATTCTAGCAAAAACAAGAAACAACTAACAAACAAAAACTTGAAAGTGGAACTGATCGTTATAATGGCAGCGAATATTTTATCTGATTGTTGTTAGCTAATAACTTGAATATAATTATCATGACTCTGATAGCTTCTTTTTGTGTGTTTTTATTGTGATTTTTATAGAATTTCTGAAAAAATGAAATTGACTCGAATTGAATAATGATGTCAGGTCCGTCATGCAATGAATTATAAAATATATATTTCATTGCCTGACATGATCATCCAATGCAGCCCGTGTCCTCTCTTCTTATCGCTCAGATCCGTCCGCGGAACTTTACGCAGTGTATCGCTCAGTGGATCCGTCCCACATAATTTTGTCTCGCCATAGCCCTCTCACATTTCCTTGTTGACGCTGTCTCAACGAGATAGCTGCACGAGATCCATGAGAGTGGGCGGAGCCTATCGTATTTCGGGTCTACATTGCGCCGGGGTTCCCCCGTTTCATTGCGCATGGACACAATTGGCCACACCCCTTTCCGGGGCAATGCATGCCAGGGTGATAATGCATAAAAGAGCACACGGGGTTATTATTTTGAATTTCCTCATTCGTTTAGTGGCTCGATACTCCTGCATATATTACCATGATTATTCGGCTATGTTAAGGATTAACATTATTCTTGTGACATTAAAATCCATGGACATGATGTCACTGAAATCAGCAGAAATTAAGTGCTATGTGGTGTCAACAATGTCGAATCCAGGGCGGGATCCAGGGGCCGAAAGCGACCGCCTTCACCTGCTAAGTGCTATTGAGAATTTCAAAAAGGGGAGGGGGAATTTCGTAAATGTTCTCACTGGTAATATAGTCTGAGTGGATTATGTACTTCTAGAAGAAAAGGACCAACATTATATCTCGATCGTGTAAGATAAGTAGTTGCAAACTAAACAAGTTCAATATCTGATTTTGTTTCTTTTCAGAAAAAGCCATTACAAACTTCCCGTTTGTTTTATGTTTGGTCTCTTTTTTGGTTTGACTAAACAAT